AGTTAATATATTTGGGGCACCTGGTTGGCTCAGATGGTAGAGCATGTGACTCTTGATCTCAGGGTTGAGTTCAAGCCCCACGTTGGGCATAGAGATTACTTAAAAAAAAAAAGTAGTTAATGTATTTTGTATCCTCCATCCTAGACTGGGGACCTAGAGTCCCCAAACTTCTTGTGAACAGGAACTACCATTTGCATTTCCTTGAAGCCTTAAGATTAAGAAGTAGCTATGGTATTGACTACAGATCATCCTCAAGTTATGATGGGGCTACATTGATAAAACTATCATAAATTGAAAATGCATTTAATACACCTAACCTACTGAACATCATAGCTTAGCCTAGCCTACCTTAAACATGCTCAGAACACTTACATTCGCCTACAATTGGGCAAAACCATCCAACACATAGCCTATTTTATAATAAAGTATTGAATTTCTCATGTAATTTATTGACTACTGAAAATGAAAACCAGAATGGTTATATGGGGACAAAATGGCTGTAAGTCTATCAGTTGTTTACCCTCGTGATCACATGGCTGACTGGGAGCTGCACCTTGCTGATGCTGCTGCCTCATATCACAAGAGAGTATCATACTGCCTATCACTAGCATGGGAAAAAAATCAAAATTGAAAAATTTGAAGTATAGTTTCTTTAGAATGCCTATCACTTTCACACTACTGTAAAGTCAAAAAACTGTAAACCAAACTATTTTAAGTCAGGAACCATCTGTATAAAGCTGCAATGCGCCAGAGATTTGGGGAGATGATGGGGTGGGGGCATATACAAATAAATTGCTGAGCTGACTATACTCATCACTCCCAGCAGATAATGAATGTCTTCATCAGTTACTGTACTAGGTGCATGGATAATAATCCCTGTGAGAAACTCACACAGAAAACAGATCATTAAAATACAGTAAGTATGTTGCTAGTCATATTAGAAATTTTCAAATAAAAGCTCAATTTACTTGCCTTTCATAAGTTTACACTTGGTTAAATAGTTGACACTCTAAAATTTGTTGAGATGACCCTACTTACCCTTCCTGCCTTATTACCCATTGCTGGCCAATAGTTACTCTCTAGTATGGCAATTGAAATTCTATGTATCTGTCCTATGGATTCCCATCTTTGCCTGTCATTCTTTCCCCTTGCTATGTCAGTAATCCTATTTCTTGCTGCTTAATTATAACTATCCTTCAGGATCCTGGCCAAATATATCCACTGAATATTATTTTATTGGGCTTCTACTGCAATACAAGGCAATGTACTATCCCTGTAAGGCCTCAAAGATGCATAGTAGATAATCTTAAAAAACTACCTGATCTCTTCTGAACTGCAGTACTTACACTTTGCTGATCTATATTTCATATTACTGGGTTATTTTCCCCTAGTTCATCTAAACCTCACTGGTTCAACAACTGCCTGTATCTGTTTTAAGTCTCCTCACCCTCACCACTACACCATAAACTCCCTGAGTGTTGAGTCCCCTATGTCAACAGTAATTGAACACAGTAGGGCAATATTTGCTGAATGAATAAATGCCTAGTAATCCTTCAACAACCCACAGGGACTAAATTTCTGAAGAGCTCTAACAGTTGGTCAAACATTCGGCAAATTCAGGACCTCATGGATTAGCATCAGGACATCGTCACACAGCGAGTTGGTGGGACCACACCCAGAGCCCCAGGACCCTGGCAGGTGAGGGGAGTGGAATAGGGACGGTGGCCTGCTGGAAAGCTCAGGGCCTGGCCAGAGAGCATGGTCACTGTGAGGTCCCTGGACTGTACCCACGTGGGGGACACGGACCCTGTGTGACCAGGTCAGCTGAGTCTTCAAGAGAAACTAAAATCCACATTTGTAAGGAATACCATAGAGCCTTCAATCTTGCCAGTTTGAATCCACCCTTCACACCACTGTCAAAATAATCCCTTCTAAATCATAAATCTTTTTTACGTAAATTGTAAAAGTTTTCAAGGAACGACCGTTCCACCGAATCATTCTGGAAAGGCAGGAGACCCTGAATACGTGCCGCAAAAGCTCAAGGGGCATCCCTGAACGATTCACTGAAAAAAATTTTTTATTTCTGCTCATTGGCTTGCTCAAGAACACAAAATAGTGTTAAATATGCATGTTTTAAACCAGGTATTAAAAGCTCTAGAAAACATTCACTTTCAAAACAAACAAGCTTTGGAAGGTAACCCTCTTCCCAATTACCTATAACTGCTACGGGAAAACTGCTGCAAGCACCAAGAACACCAACCACAGATACTCCTGAAATATTTGCTGAAGGTATCAATGAACTGAGACTGCTTCTAAGTTGTATGTTACACAGACTCTTTTTTTTTTTTAAGATTTTATTTATTTATTTGAGACAGAGAGAATGAGAGAGAGAGCACATGAGAGGGGGGAGGGTCAGAGGGAGAAGCAGACTCCCTGCTGAGCAGGGAGCCCGATGCGGGACTCGATCCAGGGACTCCAGGATCACGACCTGAGCCAAAGGCAGTCGCTTAACCAACTGAGCCACCCAGGCACCCCAGAACTGTTTTATCTTATCTCATTTTATTTGATGTAAGATGAAACAACTCTGATTTTCACCTCTTAAAGTTGGCTAAGATTTAAGACACTGGTAGAAAATGAAAGAAATAAGGTGACAAAACTTGGTTTTAGTATATCAGTCTTTTATTTATAAAGTAAAGCCAGTGTCCTTCAAAAGTATCTCTTGGGTTTTTTGTTGATCTTTGAAAAACAAACTTAATGCTAAAGAAACATAACTTGAGATCTTTAAAACGTGAAGCTATAAAACTAAATTTAAGTGCTAGACTAGTTGTCAGGAAATGTGATTTCTAATACCTATCATTATTAACTAGCTAGGATACATTAGGCCGGAAGAAGTGCCTTTATGTGTTCATCCACCCAACAGTGATTATATACTGTGCTAAAGACAGTGAGATCAAAGATAGATATGCCTTTGCCCTCAAGGAACCTTCGAGTCTACTGGAAAAGACATATATATGTATAAATAAGGACAGGGCAGACTGCAATAAAAATATGGAAGTATAATGTTCTACTGGGATACAGAGGGGAAGAATTTATTATGACTTGGAGGCTTTAAGATTTGAAGGTAGTATTTGAGTAAGCTCTTCTAGTTAATAACTTATTGGGTACTTTTTTACATTCCTGGCATTGTTCTAAGTCTTTCACTTTTATTATCTCACTTAATCCTTACAAAAACCTATGAAGTCATACTGTTTATTATAATCTCTACTTGTAGATGAGGAAATTGAGACACATAGAGGTTTAGCTAGAAATTGATAGAAGATTCAAACGTTTGATTTCAAAGGTTGTGTTCTTAAACACAATGCAGTTGTAACTTACCAGCCTGAGCAAAGGGGTGTTAGGCATGAAAGTTCCACCTAAGTATTTATGACAGTCAGTCACCTCTTACAAGCTTAAGCTTATTTCAAAGCTGTGATAAAATTTTTTCTAAAAAAGCACATCCCTGTATTAAGGAACCATCCAAATATATGAAACAAATTTGTTTGTTGTTGACTTAGGATTTTCATTAAGAGCCTTATTGTCCCATGCTATAATAGTTATGTTCTCAGGGAGTTAAGGGATACAGCATTATTATTCTAAATGCCATGAGATACTGTCAGTACAGCGTCCAACTCTTAATCTTGGGGTTCTGAGTTCAAACCCCATGTTGGGCAAAGAACTTAATAAGTAAATAACATCAGATAAATACTTTACGGTTCTTTTATCTTCTTGTCGCTGTCTGTACAACTGAAATTGTTAAGTACCTGCTTATACTCTCCAATTTTAATGACTACTTCACTCAAGTGGTCAAACTTGTTAATTAGCACTTTACTTAATCTAAGGACCAAAGGTGGTGAGAATAAAAGTTTATGGACTTTGTTTTTTTATGAAGATCTTTTTAATTTGCAATTCAGATTGCTGAAAATGTGCGCTATAAATGATTACATGAATGTAATCAGATCCAACTTTTAATAATACATTTTTATTTAATGTCTTTTTCCCACAGGGTATGGACAGTGGTTTTGCAGGTGGAGAAGATGAAATTTATAACGTTTATGATCAAGCCTGGAGAGGTGGTAAAGATATGGCCCAGAATATTTACAGGCCCAGTAAAAATCTGGACAAGGACATGTATGGTGATGACCTAGAAGCCAGAATAAAGACCAACAGGTACCAAGGCAGACAGCTCAGTTTCACTGTTTACACCAGTGAAAACAAAGTAGTTCATAGTCCTTTTCTTTTTCCTTAGATTTGTTCCCGATAAGGAGTTTTCTGGTTCAGACCGTAGGCAAAGAGGCCGAGAAGGACCAGTTCAGTTTGAGGAAGATCCTTTTGGTTTGGACAAGTTTTTGGAAGAAGCCAAACAGCACGGTGGCTCTAAAAGACCCTCAGATAGCAGCCGCCCCAAGGAACATGAGCATGAAGGCAAGAAGAGGAGGAAGGAGTAGATACACCTCTCTTCCAAGTGAATGAACTTTTATCCATAACCCTAATGATGCAAGTCAGATGGGCAAAACACTTTGTAAATGGCCAGGATAAAAACCAAATCTGGGTGTCAGACCCCAGCACTACTTTTTATTACGGGAGTAAGGGGTGGGAGGGGATGGAAAATTCTTTGAACTATTTAGTTTTTTTTAAAGAGTGGGTTGTGTTTGTGCTTCTCCTACCTTTTGGCATTTATAGAACATACTGCCCCACACATGAAATTAAGACCACTTCCTTTTATGTGACATTAGTACTTTGGGGTTAATATTTTGTGTAAGAATGACTGCTGATGAATAAAGTTGCCCCAACCACAGGGAATAGAAGGATGTTCACATACTGGAACTGTCCTGCCAAATGACGTTTGCCCCTATTACGCTCTGTTTTAATTTGGAGTGGGGAAAGTAAGCTCTTGCTTGGTGCAACTATTTGTTTCAAATAAAAACATTTAGACAAAGTTTTTAATTTTGTTTACTTTAATAGGTAGTAATAGTCTCAAAAATCTTTCTCTTCATCAGATGTTTGATCCCCTTGCAAAACTTTTGGTCTTTGAGCTTGAACATGGAGCTAAAAAAAATCAAATAAGCATTGTAAGGAAAGACAGTATCTGCAAAAACTTACAACTGAAAACTGCCACTTTAAGACTGCCTATTTATGAGGGAGTCAGCACCAGTAAGTCAAAAGGATGTTATTTGTTCCCTGGTCTTAAGACTAAATCAGTTTAACCCAAGGTTGCATAGTAAGTGGCAAAGCCAGGATTTCAACCCCAGTCTCCCTACTTTGTAAGTAAACTGCTGTTCTGTGTTAGAATATACCTTGCTAACTATTAAAGGGTCTTCCTAAACTACCCTCCCCAGACATTTTACAATGGGCACTCTACCCACCACCATTCTTTAACCAATATTAAGGGAACTTCAGTTACAAATCTCCCAAAGTCCTTGTCATTCCATACTTCTGACCTACTAAACTAATACACAGAAAGCTCATGATGTTATACAGAAAAATATTTACCTTTACTCCATCAAGAATATGATTTTCTTGTTGTAGTGCATTCTGAAGTTCTTCTTCTGAAGAAAACTGAATCCAACCCATACCTCTGTGAAATCCAGTCTCTTTGTCCTAAAAATTCAAAATTTAGAAAAGATTAATCATGAACTAGAGAAAGTTTCCATAAGCTCCAAATCAAATTACCAACTTTTTCATCTGCCAAAATGGGATAACTGACATTTTAATAAATGTCAAAAACCTTGCTTTAATACATACTTACCCTCCTAGTTACCAAAGGTTAACCCTTGTGTTAATCTTAACATTTTGCTTTTCTGCTGCCATTGGAGGAAGTAAAATACGGGTAGTGAGGTGTCTGTCATTCGAGATACAAACTACACTAACAATAATAAAGGGACTTTTTTTAATTTTACTTTTATTTCATTTATTTGAGAGAGAGAGAGACAGCGAGAGAGGGAACACAAGCAGGGGGAGTGGGTGAGGAAGAAGCAGGCTTCCCGCCGAGCAGGGAGGCCGACGTGGGGCTCAATCCCAGGACCCTGGGATCACGACCTGAGCCAAAGGCCGACCCCTAACAACTGAGCCACCCAGGCGCCCTGTTGAAATTTTAATATGACAGTTTTGAAACATACAGAAAAGTTGAAAGAATTATACAATGAACACCCATATCTCCACCACCTAGATTCTACAATTAACTTTTTTTTAACAGTTAACATTGCTTAATTTGCTTTATCATCTATCTACTGATCTTTCTATCCATCTATCAATTCACCTTGCAATTCTGATGCGTTTCAAATTAAGTTAAAGTCATCAGTATACTTTACCTCTAAACACTTGAGCTGCATGCATGATTCTGGAATTCACATTCAAAAAAGAATTAAATACTGTTGGATTTAAATTAATTGCAAGTGAGTTAAAAGGGCTGAATGTGACTATAAAGAAATTCATGGAATTATCTGTCATGGGTTAGAGAATATTCTCTTGTTCCAAATGTTAATGGGTAATATAGTGATGAAGTAATTTTCAACTCTGTTCACACAGAGGATGGGGAGGCACGTGAGAGGGATGAAATCCGGCATGACAGGCGAAAAGAGAGACAGCACGACAGGAATCTTTCCAGGGCAGCTCCTGATAAGAGGTAGGTGCTATTTGAAAGAAATGCAAATTATGAGGAGTGGGTTTTGTGAACCTTTTCGAGAAGAGGTTTAGTCCACTGAGACCAGTTTTGCTTCTCTCCCTTTCCTCTCTAGATTGATAACTTACTAAATCAGCACTTATTTTCTTACACTAAACTACTACTTTTTCTTAGCAGAAAATTGTCCCTAAAAGAAATTCTTTCTCATCACCTTGTAGAGTTAGCGGGACTTGTGAATGATAGGGATATAGAAAAGGGAATTCAGATCATGTTTGTGAAAAGAAGGTAGTAGATAGGACTGTTCTGGTCTGTTCTTTTCCTATTTCAAGTGGTGAGACAAACTTATGTGCCTATTCCTCTAGACAGGGAAGACGATTCTATACCTTCATTGAGATCCTACATGCAGAGGGCCATCCCGAGTACAATGGGGGACAAGAGCAGGTTTTGTGAGAAGTGAAAATTGGCCTCTTCTCATGAGTAGTTCACTTAAAATTCAGAAAGACAGAGCTACCATATAAAATTACTTGGGAAACTTAACACAACACTGCTAATAAGTACAGACCTGAATGGAACAAGCAAAATACATGTATGGGGACTTGCACTAAAGTAAGGATTGGTAAAGTTTATGCTTCACCAAAGGCTGAGCACTGAATTCTGAGTGAGGGTTAAATGCAAATGTAAAGCATTTTCTTTCCATATGAGCAGTTTTCCATGCTCTAATCACTTTGTGAGCTGATAAAATCCATTTTTCCAAGTCATGTCTTAAACACGAAAAAGATGATTCCTGCTGGTGGTGCTCTTTGTTATTTAATAATGGCATAGCTCATCTCCCTGGATAAGTGAAGTCATGGAGAAGCAGAAGATCTGAATTTACAGTTGTGGGTAAATGTGCAGTGTAGAAGAGAGAGGAATGAATATGAAAGTGCACAATTAATGATACTCTCGGTCTGAAATTCCCAAGCTGTAAAAATCAAAAGGACTCTGTAGATAAATTGGGCCCTTAAAACCAGTAAAGTGGTTATGAGAATTGATAACATAGAAAAGCTGTAAACTTGTGATTGGGTGAAAATCAGGTTGTCTATAGAAATTATTTTAAGACCTGAGTTTCTGGTAAAATAAATGATGAGAGTTACCATGGTTTCATTACAGTGTAGACTGCATACATACTGAAACAGCAGGGGAATTAAGATAATCTGTATATTGAAAATCAGACTGAGTAATGCAGTCATTGACATGTTTTCCTCAAAATTCTAATAGGATAAAATTACTAAATGTGGTTTAGGTAAAGAACAGATTCTGGCTTATTGAAAGTGATTCATATGATACATCTGATTTGCATCTAGTCCCCCCCAATCCTCGTATAATAGCAAATACAGACTGTAGCAATTTCATATCTCAGCATGCTCTCTCTGTAAGGTGATTGCTTATATTAAAGACTTAATGTCCAGAGTGAGTCCCTTGACAGTTCTTTTCAGCTAACAGGAAGGCCTGATTGTAAAACCCTACCTGTTCTAATAACCATGTCTCTGAAATGCTGTAAGGACTACCAACCTGATTATGCATTATCAGGGGATATATGTTCACAAGATATGAACAGGACGTGTTCGTTAACTTTGCTTCTGAGATTGGTTGTATTTAAATTGAAATTCAGCTTGTCTGTGAAGAGTTTTGTTAGTGACATTGTATTTTGAAACAGGTCGAAACTACAGAGAAATGAAAATCGAGATATCAGTGAAGTCATTGCTCTTGGTGTGCCCAATCCTCGGACGTCCAATGAAGTTCAGTATGACCAAAGGCTTTTCAACCAGTCCAAGGTACAAGGAGTTTAGAAATAGCATGTCTTAAGTGTTGATGTGAATACCAGTCCTCAGGGAAAAGAAAACTAACATCATAGGTTGATCAGCCTAAGGTGTGCTGGCATAGTGAGAGAAAAAAATTAGAAGTTGCATGTTGTGACTTACAGAACTGTTTTATCTTTTTTTTTTTTT